GCGCATAAGGAGCATGAGGAGCAACTGAAGTGAAAGCACCTCGCGTAAGGTGTAAGGCTCCTTGCTCCTTGCTCCTAAATTCAAGGTGCACCTTAAGGAGCGTTTCTTGTGAAATAGGCCCCTGTTGTGTGGGCTTTCACCCGGACGCCTGGCGCACCAATGAGGGTGCAGACACGAATATAACCGAGGACACGAGGTTGTATGATTCAACCTGAATGTTCACTTAATTCGAACAATCAGCCCCTGAACCGAACTCGGGATTCGAATCTTTAATTCCCCATCCATCTCGGAGGTCAACATGTACAGACGTTAAGGTTCAACCGCAGTGCGGCTACCGCACGTGGAATGCTCACGCCTGCCGACACGAAATAGGCACTTGAGTTGTGCGTGCGCCTGTGTGTAGCGCACAAGCACACGGATCGTATGGCACGATCCGCTGAACGCTCTAACAAAGAGATTATAGTTCCTTCCCTGAGACTAGGAAGCTGCAAGTTTCTTCGTGGTATCTTCCTCACACTCATACTGTTGCCGGGCACTATCACCTATCGACCTTCCTCTTAACCTCTGGTTAAGATTCATCCCTTCACATCTCCCTTCCTCGAACCGACTCGGTTCGCGCACCTTCCGGGCCCGCAAACTCATCTGTTCTTTCATTGGGATTCGAGTAACCGAAACATTCTATGATATGCCGCTTCAGCAACAAGCTTGAACTATTTACTCAGTAAATTTCACTGAGCCAGTGTCGCACTCAATACCCCGTGGCTCGAAACCTTCGAGTTGAAAGCGAAATCTCGTCCTTGGCATCAGAAGTCACTTCTGCGAAGTGTGACACGTCACGTATAATGCCTCCGTTCCCTCACGCCGCGGCGTCACCGCAACATATGCTGTGCCAGAAGCGTTAGCTACGACTAGGCCTTTCAGTGACTCGTCGTCCCTATTCTCTGTCAGGGTAATCGTTCGCCGGACGTCCCTCCCTGAGAGTGGTACGCCACCAAGCACGCTGTTGACCAACTTACTAGTCGCAGCCTATTCTTGCTATCTTGTGCTATCTTGCTCAACTTAGTATAAATGTGTACGTAAGCACATAGCGAACATAAGGCCAACATTGACGCTTTGTATGTTGAGAACCGTCAGACAGACCCGACTCTGAGATCGACAGGGGGAAGGGGAAAAGTTAAAAGCTTAACTTAACTCTTGTTCCTTGAAAACCCTGTGCATGCGTATCGATCCGAGAATCGATATCCCACACAGAAGCTATACACCAGTCTCGTCCGCGCAACGAGAACAGCAAACAGTCCTGCGGCACACAACGAATGGGACGTCACTATGAGTCATAGTCTATGACTAATAATGTGGCAACGAACGATCCATTACATTGTATACTGCTGCACCTCAACCTACTCTGCATTGAGTTCTGCGAGTTATACTTTGACAACTTGATCAACAACGCGATCATGCCGCGCTCGCCATGAATAGTAGCGCGCGTCTAGTGACGCACGCTGTATCCACGTGACATGACGCCTATCTTGGCGCGACGCTGTTCCTCGTCGCCTTTCCTGCGTTCGCTCTCCTCCGCTCTTTCCAACCTTCCTCGAGGGTGTTGCGTTCTGGCAATCAATTCTGAGCCCCTGGAATCCACGGCCTGGACGACTAATTAGATGTTTGTCTGTTCCAAATCGCCCTTATCAGTTGATGCCGAGACCTAAACGTCATTCAATTGCTCTATCGACCCTTGTTAACGTAGTCATTTTTTGCCTGTGGCTCATTCTATTTCCGGTCTTATATTCCTATCCATTCTTCTTCACTGGATCTCTAGCCCGGTTGTGGATCCTAGCGAAAAAACTAACTCTCAGTTTTCGTTGCCGTTTGCTCAACTCGTAACTAAACCCCAAATCGGGATTCCCCATTAACTGACTATAAAGCCACACCTCCGTATTTTCTTAAGGCAATTCACTGAATCAGCGGTGGATAATGCCAGATATAACTTTATCCAGGCAGGGATCATATGGACCTACACGGGTCTCTTCACTCATTCTCAATGACTCATTCAAGGTAAATAAAACATTTACGTATTGCAGAAAAATCTTCTGCATCTTCTGAGAAGACGAGCTTCACCTGTTCCACTTACCGTCTCTCAACTGTCTTTTTTCGGATGGAAGGGGACTTATCTCTCTTGCTCCCTTTTGCAATCGCAGTTACACCTCCCATAATATTATATTGGGTGGCCGTTCTTTCATTCTTTCATTTCTTTGTTGAGAATACTAATCACCAGAATCGCGCGAATTAGCGGGCGAGCTAGGGTCACCAACGCGAGAATAGCCTCTCAAATTGAGAGTCTCAATACAGGAATCCTAAGCTCCTCTTTCCTCGAAATACTCAGTAGTTGATAAATCGTATAGTAGTCATTCTTCATATATATACATATTATCGCAGGTGACGCCATCGGGAAATAATGCCAAGAACTTGTGGGTGAGTTGAGCATGCATTCGCTGAGGGTTTGCCTTGCAACCCGCATTATTCTTCGAGACCGAGGAACATATTTCCCTGACATTTCAATGAAATGTCAGGGAAATATCTGATGAAATGATTTCATCAATTTCGAGCACCTCCCTCAGGAGAAGACGAAGTACTTGAGCTGCCTGCTGGGTTGTGTGAAGACGTTGACGCGGGAGTGAGTTCAGGAAAATCGAACCACGGTGCCCAGCGGAAGAAGGCCCATGTACCGTCGCCGTGGTCCTAATGAAACAAACGTCCAGAAATCATTATCTATTATTCCTTATGGGTGGCTCAGTGGATAGTATCCACTGTATACATCGGACCGTTGGGAGAGCTTCCACTTAACTATCACAGCTTCGAATGGGCACCGTCTTCATTACTGAGTAAGGCACTGGTTTCAGCAATTATGAAGAATGTCTATTTTTCCTTCCACCGGCCACCAATGTGAGAGTAAAACATGGAGGGATATCATTATGAACGATTCTCTTTCTGTTGATGTATAGCACTAGATCAGGAGCGGAGTTATAGATATACTCCCCCAGTAAAGGTTGGTATTTCGAGGCGCAATTTTAACACGTGTATGCTAAGAATATGTGGAGAAAACTTTTTACCAGTCTTCGACTTCTCACTAACTACGAAGAGTTAGGCCTTTCTGAAACTTGAAGGTCATATCGGATAAAGCATATCATATAATATCATATAATAGCATAATAATAGCATAATAATATAATAGCATATCATATAAGTACATATCTCCCTGAGCCGCAAGATGATACTCGTTGTGGTGGCTGTGCACGAGTCGAAAAACCGGATATGCTAAGAATGTGTTGAGGGGTGTACTTGTTCCCAGATCCTACAAGTCGGAAAGTAGCAAATCTTGCGTCATCTTGCATTTCTTGAATTTCCTCAACGTAGCTAATCGCATGATAATCGATCAAATCGTCCTCCCCCCCTACAAGCAGTAGACTTCCCGAAAAGTCTTTCCCGTTCTAACAGATGGCTCGTGGTCCTAAGAAGCATTTGAAGCGCGTCTTCGCCCCCAAGCATTGGCTTCTCGACAAGCTCGCTGGCGTGTGGGCTCCCAGACCTTCTACTGGTCCCCATAAGCTGCGTGAGTGTATGCCTCTGATTGTGTTGCTTCGTAACCGTCTGAAGTATGCTCTCACTTACAACGAGGTGAAGATGATCGTCATGCAGAGGCTCATCAAGGTCGACGGCAAAGTACGTGTTGTTACCCTCTGAGGAGATGCGCTATTGTGGTTTATAAGGTGCGCACCGACATGTCCTACCCTGCTGGATTTATGGATGTCATCACCATCGAGAAGACTAAGGAGAACTTCAGGTGCTGCGTACGAGGCAATAGTTGCCAACAAGACCCTATGAAGCATCGTTACCGAGCTTCATACGGCCCACTGTTGAGCAAGGGATAGGTCCGGGTATATGGCTAGGGGACTAGCCTGGAGGTACTGTCACCACCAGTGTCACCACCGATGTTCGCTAGGTGTTTAGCAACTAATAGAACTATTTTCCAACACTGAAAATTCCGTATTGGTTTCTGTACACTTCTACCCGAATTCTCATGATTCTATGATGAACTTTTGAGCTCAACTGAGGATGATATTGTTATTTCCTTTTCAGATTGTTGTTCGACACCAAGGGCCGTTTTGCCATTCACAAGATTCATCCCGACGAGGCCGCCTATAAGCTGTGTAGAGTGAAGAAGGTCTACATGGGCTCCAAGGGCGTTCCGTACGCCAACACACACGATGGTCGTACCATCCGTTACCCTGATCCTGAGATCAAGGAGAACGACTCTGTTCGCGTTGATATCCAAACTGGCAAGGTGCTCGACTTCCTAAAGTAAGCTGTCGAATGATATATTCTGGAGTTTCACCCGCAGTAGTCGCGAAATATATTTTTCACTAGGGTGGTTTAACTCCAATGGTAACTTGGACGAGGGAGATTTCGAATGATGATTGCATGAAATGTACAACACTGCTTTACCAAGTCCTACAATATGCGGACACATCCAGCAGATGGTCTGACGAAATGATCCCTCGGGTTTTTCCTGCTTCGCTCCGCTCAATTTTTATTCATTTTTCATTTCAGGTTCGAAATCGGCGCCACTGTTATGATGACCGGTGGCAATAACATTGGTCGTGTTGGTGTTATCACTCATCGTGAACGTCACCCTGGAAACTTCGAAATCATCCACGTGCGTGATGCTGCTGGAAACAACTTCGCTACGCGTCTCTCCAACGTGTTCGTTATCGGCCATGAGGGCAAGCCTTGGGTATCCCTTCCTAAGGGTGACGGCGTTCAGCTCTCTACTGTTGAGGACCGTCATATGCGTATGAAGAAGAACCGCATTGCTGGCCAGCAGACTAGAAAGTAAACTCTAAGTCTTTGTCACTCGTTTAGTGGGAAAACAACCTGAGTTTTGTTGGTCAATTTGAGTCGTTACTGTTACTCAATGCTGTACGGTCCTGCGGCTGTGGTTTCTTCTGTAGGGTGAATGCGACACCGATTTAGACATGGAATCATAAAATGTTCATCGAATAGATTATGGAACATTATAGATTCCTCATCGATGTAGACATGGAATCTATGATGTTATCGGATTCTCGACATTCCCCATGTAAATGTCATAACGTCGTTTTCCCAACTGTTATCAAACTAGACGACAGGGCAAGTACTATGAGGTCGATCGATCTCTGTATCGATCAACTCGAAGCCGATGTGGATAGTTGAGCTCGGGCAAGCGTTATTTTATTGGTTCCTGATTAGAAAGTGCTAATTCGATGCTAATTGGATCATTCGCTTTCCTCAGCTACTGAGCTCAGGAGTTTCTTCACTGAGTTTACACCCTACTCAAAGTGAAGTCGGTGAAAAACGCGATATTCAACGGGGTGATATGTAGCAGTAGTCGTGGGATATGTTTTTCATATCACTAGGGTCAAGAAACTCCCTGAGCACATTATTCGCGTGAAAAATGTCGAGCCCGGGATTTGAACCGGGGACCTATGTCGCTTCACGAACATCAAAGTTCTAACCGAGCTCTGCTGTGGTAACCATGTCTATATCCCCCCCAACTGCTGCTAATTTAAGTCGCCACTTTATTTAACTAAAGTCCAACAATGCATTTTACAGCCCCGTAGATATCTCTTGAAAACGTGAGTGGCCAGTTGACGCTGAGTGTTCGATGGCTCCATTTTGACCAATGACGAGAACACAGCATTCTTGACACTGTAAAGTGAAACCATCTAGATCGGTGTATCTGATGGAAGTAATAAATTTATCCCAAAACCACTACTTGTAGGAGGTGAATAATCGTTGGGGTGAAAAATTCCGACTTCCGGAATAATTTTATAATCGTCGGTGCTTAGCAGATCTACGGACAGGTGATTTTTTTAGATTTTACACCAAGCCATGACATTTATTGGTTTTTACTACTGCAAAAGTACGACTATAGACCACGAAACTACTCCTGAAAATTGGAGTTTCACAACTACCCGTTTTACGCGGTTAAGTGGCGAAGCGATATGCAGTAGCAGGGAGACATCGAGGAACTTCGAATGTTCCCAGAGGGAACGAAGTTTGGACTTTCAAAATGGCTAGGAACATATTTTCGGCCAATTGTCGAGCATATTTTCCCCATTATAATCGCTCATTCGGAACATTTTCCCCATTATAATCGCTCATTCGGAACATTTTCCCCATTATAATCGCTCATTCGGAACATTTTCCCCATTATAATCGCTCATTCGGAACATTTTCCCCATTATAATCGCTCATTCGGTCTCGGCAGGATTGGAGAACGTTATTTCCGAGAGCCGGATGACTCCCTGTGCAGTAGTCGTAAAATGTATTTTTCGCTCCATTTACAACCACCTAGTGAACTTACTGTCGTCGTCTGCGTAAATCATCCGCGACACTTTTCGCGCTGGCCGCTACTTTCATATCACCACTCGGGAAAATTGATACTCTACTGCTGTCCACCAAACTAGTAGAGGCTATATAATCATAGTGCGACCCTGAAAATAGAAATTAATATATTTCAACTTCACTAAAGAGACGAACCATCATGCAGTAGGTAGACGCAGGGAATACTCTCGGGTACTTCTTGAGGGTATCTGAGAAATAACTTTATCATTAGTGTTTCACCCTAGTGATATGAAAAACATATTTCGCGACCACGGCATACCGCGTTGAATATCGCGTTTTTCTCCGAGATTTACGCCACTTCGCGTAAAACGGGTTGTGGAACTCCATCAAAGTTGCACAACCCGTTCTACGTGAAGTGGCGTAATATTGTACACTATTTTACAAATACCCAACTTGCAATATCATCGGGAGTCTACATGGAGTATCACGCCACTTCACGCGTTATACGTTAATACTCACCTATATAGATGTCCAGTTTTGATTTCCACAGTGTTTATTTGTACACCAAAATATGGCGCTAGAATGCTGAGCTCAATGTAACCGCCCCATGAGGAATCTTGGCGAATCCATTTCACATATCTGAGATCAAATATTCCTTGAGAGTGTAAAGCCAGTGGAATTTCTTGACCCTAGTGATATGAAAAACATATTTCACTTGGTATAATAACTGAGCGTAAAACACGTAGTATGTGGAGTGATCTGTCCGGTGTAATTCGCCACTTCATATCGCGTTTTTCACATACACT